GGTCACACTGGTTGGGCGCATGCACAGGGGGAGTGGGACACATTGCATTATGAGGGAGGACCCACTTATGTGTTGTCATGAATATGTGCACAATTTTGGCATGTGAGGAGAAAAAGGTTAGCCATCACTGCTATAGGACATAATGTATTAAATTAAGGCTATAGAAATTAAAAGAATTCAAAACAAAAGTGTCAATCTTATGATAACAATTTACCATCCATGTTATCTTTTCTACTGATATTTAATTTGTACATTTTCCCTAAATTGTTGAAGTATAAGTTAGGTTTCTCTTTTAAATTTAGTTTTTTCTAACGCAGAATGTAGGAAAGCATCATATAACTAATTGACTTCTTTAATAATATTTAGAGATTTCTTTGTTCTGTGATTTCTTAGCAAGTAAAATTAGGCAGTCCTGATTATGTTGACTGTGCTAGTGATGAAGCTACGGAAGACTTTATGAAAAGAATTGAGTGTTACAAGAATTCATATGAGACGCTGGATGAAAATCTAGACAAGTAAGTGACGATTTCAATTTTAATTAAAAAACAATAATATGGTACCTTAAAGTTTAATCCATTTAACTTATAACATACATTTTAGGGGAACACATCCTTTCAGATGAATGATATAAATTAATGTGAGAGACATGATATAAATACTTTTAATAAGAAAGGAAGAATTTAAAATAGTGATGAGAATAAGCAGAAATGCTTTTAATATTAGAAGATAGAGACAGAATTGTGAAATAAAGCAGGTCATAAATAAAGCACAGGGATGTGTGCTTTGTCAGACCAAGGTAGCAAAATCAACAAAGAACAGTGGTCCTTTACTGTGAGCTATTTGTAGTCCTGACAAATTTTATTACTCAGTTGTTATGTTTACGCCTTTGTGATCTGGAGTGAGGAAAAATGGGAAGTGAAAAAGGTTTAAAAAAAAAAGTGAAATTCCATGATTGCCTAAAAAAAATGACCAAATGTGAAATAGTCACAGCATTTAACATGGGTATTTTGAACATTAATCAGTATAATTTGAAAATAACTTTTGGGCCACATTCCGTCCAAGACAAATGGCAGTAGGTTTTCTGATTCAGTCTGCTTTGTTCTTTTTGTCAAATAATGACCATCTTATGGCAAGATTTTTATTTTATTTATTAAATTTATATGCTTTGAAATGACTCGAGATAAAAAATAGAATATATTATTCTTATTTTATATTATCACACATTAAAAAAAACTCTGGGCAACTCATAACAGCAATAAAAACACAAACACATTTAAAAAAAGCAAAAAAACTTGTTCTTCAACCATCTCCTTTCACTGTATTCAACAAAACCATCTCTAGGCTCCAATCTCGCCTTATCCCAATGTTTAGGGTAAGAGCCAGTTCTTTATGGCCTGGAAGACTTAGGAGGGTGGAAGTGTGCCGAATACTGGGGTCAGATGAGATTGAGTGTTCTGGAGGGCAGAAGCCACTATGGAAAAGATATAACTCCTAGGTTCCATTAGGAAGGTGGAAACATATATCTGAATATTACCGTTTCTGATGTCATGTCTCTGAATATTTACATTTTTATATGTAAAATAAAGTAAACATTACTGATTGATATTAGATAGAACTGAAAATGAGAAAATATATACTCCTATAACATTGGGAATGTTATTATTGGCTTTTGTGTATCTTCAGAATATCTTTTTAATAAAACTGGCCATTTTTTTTACTGTTTAACGTTAGCCATTTCAAATTGTTTCAGGGAATGCCCTTAGTTGCCCATAAAATCCTAGATCTCATAGCTTATTTCTTGGCTTTCCAAGAGCTCTTTTGCATATTGTTATAGCCATAAAAAGATTAACTAATAAATATATTCTCCTGGAGCCCTTTTGCGATTGCTTGCTATACTGTATGGTTTTTAGTGATAAAATTAGTGCTTTTGTTTTGTTTCATAATAAACTGATCTTTTCCTTATTTATTTGATTTATAACATGCCTTTTTATTCTTGCAAGTGGCTAAACTAATACGATTGTTTAATTGTAATGACATAATTTGAAGGAACAGCATTCAGTTGTGGACATTTCCTTATATGGACTTCAACTGGTAGAGCCCAGGCCCAGATTTACCATGACACTGAGAATTCAGCTCTTGTCAGAGTGCTGTATTAGGAGGTTTGCAAATAATGTCATGCAATTTTTAGGAGTTTTCCCATATTCGCCCAAGTTATTTTATGATTTTGACCAGTAAACCTGTTTGGTTTACAAAAGTAGTTGACTATATGTATTGCATACTGGCTATAATCAACAGATAAAAGCCCTAGAAAAACATGAACTGTTCTAGTTGTGAAAACAATGTTAATTTATATTAATGAGAAAAAAATGCAGTAACGTGGCTTCGCCAACAAATAATGTTGATATATTAATTTCATGCTGTTGCTAGCATAGTTGAAAAAGGATCTCGGAACTGAAATTTAGAGCATCAGCAAATGAGGTTCCTAATTAATGATTCAGCCAAAAAAAAAATCTGTCAGAGAAAATAGCTTGAAATATCTGTTTACCAAAGATAAATCATCCCAGTGGACACATTAAAAATTAAGCTAAACATAAATTCATAGCCACAGTTCCAAGAAATCTTGGCCTCTCTGCAGGCTGATTCTTTGAATGCATGCTTCATTTCTAGGTAAACAAGTAATTATCTGTTAAAATAGAAATTGACAGCCACAAGCTATGTGGATTTACAAATTCTATATAGTATGGATAATATGGTTAATTTGGAATTCTCTCTTCAGATCTTAGTTAATTGAAGATATAGTAAAACTCTGTATTACTTATATACAGTTAACTATTTTTACTAACTTTCAAACTAGATTCCATAATGTAAAAAGAATGTAAATAAAATAAATACATTGCATATTAACAAACACCCTGTTACTTAAAAGTTCTTTTTGTTAGATTCTGGAACTACAGGTAGTCCTTGGGTTCTAATGGCAGTCAGGACTGGAATGTCCTTCACTAAATGATGGGGTTGTGAAGCACAACATCACAGGACTGAATCTATTAGCAGTGGTAATCCTGGTTGCTGTCATAACCCCAGGACCACTCCGGTCATTAAGTGGAAAGAGGCAAGATGTCAGGCAAATAGGTTAGCGGTTGAGGGGTGGGTGAGTGCTCCAGATGGGTGCTGCAGTGTGTAGGCTGGTGCTGCAGGCAAGAGAGTGGGTGATACCAGTAGGCACTACTGGGGAATGTGGGGAAGTGGAGGGGCAGGACTGAGTGGCTGTAAATGCAGGCTAGGGCCAAATTTTGATTGTTTGACTGGGGAAAGAGCAAATGCAGTGGCCAAAACTTCAAGGACTGGTTTCAAATCCAGTTCTTTCAGTGCCCTTATAACTTTGAATTGTCACTAAACAAATGGACATAATTGGAGGACTATCTGCACTTTTCCTCAAATGTTGGTGAGTAAAATGTATTCCTGGTCTCTGTGGCTGATAAGTAAAGCATTAGGCTAAATAGGACAATAATTAATTACGTCTCCTATTGTTACAGGGATCTTTCTTATATTAAAATCATGGATGTTGGAAGGAGTTACCTTGTAAACCATGTAATGGATCATATTCAGAGTCGGATTGTTTACTACCTCATGAATATTCATGTAACTCCTCGTTCCATCTACCTCTGTCGACACGGTGAAAGTGAACTAAATCTAAAGGGAAGAATAGGAGGAGACACGGGCTTGTCCCATAGAGGGAAAGAGGTAGTTATGTTCTATCTATTGTAGCTCTGTATTTTATTACATTTAAAATTTATTTTAAAATTTAAGTAATTTTTAAAAATGTACATTATCTTGCATTTGTTTGTGTTCTGGGATTTAAGGAGAGATTTGGATCCAGACAACCAAGGATATGGAACATTCTGCATTTTGCTTTTGAGCAATAAACTAGATTTCCATTCCAGAGAATGAATGAGATCACAAAGAAATTAATAGGGTCAGAGCAGAAACTTCATTTAAATAAAATGTTAAATTAACTGAAAATGTGCACAACATATTTATTAATTTTTCCTCAGGAACGTGTTAAAAATTACAAGTCAATGGCAACTTTCTTGGGGCTGTGGGGCAACCCAGGTGTTTAGGCTTCCAGTGTCGCTTGCTGTGTAGAAAATTTTGGGAATTGAAGTCTACACATCTTAAAGTTGCTAAGTTTGAGAGATAGTGATATCAGAAGATTCTTAAGAACTGTGAAACATTTCAAAAAAGGCTGCAGTCAGATACAGGAACGTGGAGGTGTCACAGGTCTCCATTTATTTTTACTACTTAAAAAGCCTACAGTAAATAGTTCAGCCTGAATAAGAAATGTTCAGGAGGTTATATCTCTACAAGTGGAAGTTCCTTATACTCATACAATGTTTTATTACACCAAAATTAGAGTGCCCTCTCATTTTAGCAAACAAATATTGTGATTCTTAACTGCTAGTCAAATTTCTTTGTTGAAGGACTACATGAGCCTTTGAAAGACCTCATTCAAAATGTATTATCTTTTGACACTGAATCTGAGTAGCTGTGATATTATAATGTATTTTTTAATGACCTTTTCCAGTTTGCCAAGAGCTTGGGCCAGTTCATTAATGACCAAAACATCAAAGATCTGAAAGTCTGGACAAGTCAGATGAAGAGGACCATTCAGACTGCTGAGGCTCTGAGAGTGCCTTATGAACAGTGGAAAGTTTTAAATGAAATCGATGCGGTAGGATTGCTTTTCTGTTATATGCATAACAGATGCTTGTAGTTTTTTGCTTGTAGTTTTTGATGAAGATGACGACAACGAGCTTCTGCAGCTTCCTGAAGTTTTATAACTACCAGACAAGTTATCAAGGCTTATTTCAAATGTATTAGATTGTATTGCACCTATTGCTTCTCTCGCCATAAAATTATATGTTAATTATAAATGTTAGTTGGTTTCAGCAATTTTAGAAAGTATTTGTGGAATTTGTCCCTTCTTGCTACAGAACTATTTCTGTTGATTTCAAACTGATGTCAGGCAATAAACTATTATTATTTTTGACAACTATCCCTAATTTGAAGGGAGTTAAGATAAGATTGAGTTGAAAACCAAAGTTTGTTTTAATCATTGTGTGAAAATAAAATGGTAGTTCTGCCCTGATGTCTTATCGATCAATTGATTGATTGATTGATAGATGTCCAACTTGAATAACATTTCAACTTGAAAGTGACATAGCAGTGTTTTTAAAAAAAAATATTGTTGCAAATAATTCATTTTAATGATACATTGTTTTGTTTATGCTGTTTGTAATTTGATTAGAATTTAAAAATAGTTTTATTTTATTTGTTGAAATTGGTAGAAATGTGGGTTAAAATTCAGTAAATTAATAAATTAATGAAATAAACTCATTAAATATTTTAAATTAATTGAATTTTGAAAAACATTATTGCTAAATCCCCTGACAATAACCAATAGTTTTTTTCTGATGATATTTCAAAAAATAATCAGAGAAAGCAAATTCGACCAACTAGATTAAAATGGGAAAAGCCACTGTGTTGTTTCCAATTTCAGGTGGTTTGGTGAGGAGAAGTAAAACCATTTGTTATGATAGAGCTGCCCCCCTCATGGTTTGCTTAGCTCCAACAAGAAACTAAAGACAGATATTTTTGTACCAGAAGGTGTTTGCTCTTCTGTGGGGATTTATTTAGTTTGGTATTGTTATTTTTTATTATTATATATTTTGTTTTAATTTTATTGTAAACTGCTAAGATTTTAATTTGGATTATGGCAAGGTATAAATTTGATTACATAGATAAATAGTTCCATGAATTGAATTTCCATTTGTGCAGCTTAATGTCAGAATTCATAATGAGGATGATAATAACACAGCCTGATCAACTCAGTTTACATAGGTTATCTCTCAGTAAACATTAAAACATGAGATATAATTAGACCCTGAAAGAATAGCCTTCCAGCCTTGTCAATTCATGACAAAAATGGTATTTTCGTTCAAAATTTTTGTGAGCAACAGCCCAAGTTTCTTATCATGATTATTTTCTTTGTTTCCATAGGGAGTCTGTGAAGAAATGACATACGAAGAAATTCAGGAAAATTATCCCTTAGAATTTGCTTTGAGAGACCAGGATAAATACAGATACAGATATCCTAAGGGCGAGGTTTGTTAAATTTTATTTCTTGCAAGCTTGAAGATGCAGAAGTCTTTTTGTAAGTGTTTCAAAAGAGAAATGTTTTGAAATAAAAGGAGTTTGTTGCCCCTTTCTCATCAGGAAGCTTTTCTGCAACTTCTCTGTATTGTTGCTAAAGTAGAAACCAATTTCTCATTTGTGTAGGAAATGTTAATTAACAGCAACAGAGCACCTCTTCTTTGTAACTTAAAAAGCTATCCAACAGTAGAGTTCAAATTTTAAGCAGGGATGAAAGGCTTCTTAAAACTGTTTTGGAAAAGGAGGAAATCAATCTGTTTCCATTTCAGACTTTTGGTTCAGTGGTTTTGATGAGGGGTAATGCTGGCTATCCTGCAGCCCAGTCCCCTCAGATGGAACATGCATCAGCGTTTTCATGTGCTTTCTCTAAGTAGAGCAACAAATTTTAAAACCACACGTTTGAGACTCAGTTAATTGCTTGTCAGCCTGCCTTTTACACGCTGCTACTAAAAGTCCGGCATTAATCAAAAGCACCGATAAAAGCAGCTACTAACAGTATTTGTTTAAAGTGCAACATGCCTTAAATCCATGTATCATGTGTTGGCTGAGTGATCATAATGTTCAAAACGCTGCAGGAGTACAGATGGCACAGAGGCAGTCAGGTTATAATGGATGTTATGTAAGATGGAAACATTTTTTGAGCTGTTTGCTGATTGTAGAGAGAAAGTATGTGTGTTTTTCACATCTTCTTAATGACTACTGCTGGGTTAACTTTGGCTGAATACTGTTCACGTGTTCCTTAGCAAAGCAAAAATGTATGTTTTGGTAAAGCATCGGGTGGCTGCTGCCCTCCACTTTTATCAGCTGATCTACTTACAGTAGTTTTCCAAAACTTCTTTTGTTCCATGTTTGAGGGTGCAAAAGATATAGCTTCATTAAAATTAATTTTCTGTAGCAGAATTCCTGTTTTTGAAAACTGTCAGCAAGAACACCTTTCATTACTTTTACATGAAAACAAGGTAAATGCTAGCTGTATCAATTACCCAGCTATTTACAAAATTTCTTACACAGGGGAAAAATAAACGTTAAAATATAAATATTGAAATAGACAAAGAATAAAGTGACAGAATCAGTCTTTAATCTTCTGCGACTCAAATTCTGTGGTATGGAAATCATCAATACAGAAAAATAAGCATAGATTGTTTAGAAAAGAATGGATCCAGAGAGGAAGAATGGATGTTGAAATCATTTCATGTAAGTCAGTAATTACTTGGTAGTTGCCATTAATCTACCACTTGGATTTTAAGCACAAGATAATGATTAAAGCTTGCAAGGAAGAAATACCTCTGTAAAATTGGATCCAGACAGAGCATAAACCTCTCTAATATGCATCAGTGCAGCATAAAGTAACAATGCAGCTGCTTTAAGAGTTGCATTGATTTTAATGAATTGTTTCCTAAAAGCATCTGCATTTTTTTTTGTTTCACATGGAAGTTTTTAAAAAGATAGGCTTTTCATCTTATGCGAAATCAGAAGAATTTGTACCATCACAATATTTTAAAGAGAACACAGTTGGTACTATTTAACCCACCTTAGAGCAAATCAATTGTATTATAAAACTAGGATCATTTATACATATATCCATATTACCATGATTTTTTTTTGCTGTTGTTTTTCCAGTCCTATGAAGATCTTGTTCAGAGGTTAGAGCCAGTAATTATGGAGCTGGAAAGGCAGGAAAATGTGCTTGTAATCTGTCACCAAGCTGTTATGCGTTGTTTGATTGCTTACTTTTTGGATAAGCCTGCAGGTAGGTACCTTACAAATGTCCACAGAGAGTGCTCAAGTTAGTCAGTAGTAACTTTCATTTTCTTACCAGATAATTGCTTACTTTTTGGATAAGCCTGCAGGTAGGTACCTTACAAATGTCCGCAGAGAATGCTCAAGTTAGTCAGTAGTAACTTTCATTTTCTTACCAGATAATTGCAGACAAGTGGTACATATTTATGATACCACTGTGTCAGTAGCTCTCAACCTGTGGTCTGCGGACACTTGGGTGTGTGTGATGTCATCACAGGGGTTTGCGAAGGCTTGAAGAAATGTTATGATTTAAATTTTAAGTCTTAGTGATCTTTGGTCATGGTCTGTGGCCACAAAAGGTATTTAAAGGGGGTTCGTGGTGAAGAAAAGGTTGAGAACCACTGTTTTTAGGTCGGTTAAAATATTTTTATTTACTTAGTGATTTCAATTTACCATTTCTTTTATTCTTTTGTTTCATCTGGCTAAGTCTTAGAATCTGTGTCTGTTACCCCATGGTAGCATTGCTTTTGAGCTCTTTGGTTTCTACAAATGGAAGCTGTTCTGAAGATTTATTTAGTGAAGTGAGATATAAATAGTAACCAACTTTATAGTCAATAGTCTTTTTTTCTTTTATTCTTTTTTAATTTTATTTTTCTTTATATATTTCAGAACAACTGCCTTATCTCAAGTGCCCTCTGCATACTGTCTTAAAGCTAACTCCAGTGGCTTACGGTAAGATATTAAATTTGAGCTCAGCAAATTAATCATCTTTATTGTGAGTTTTATTAATCAACTTTATTATGAAAAACATTTCATTAGGTTACATCTATCAAAGGCAGCCTAATAGTTCCTAGTTCAAACAGTTTGGCTATCAAATCAAATCACTTGTACAGCAAGTTACAGTTATAGTTTGAATTAAACTGTTCAGTTCATCATAAACCAAAAGCTTTTAAAATGAACATTGCTTCCACTCTTCCTGAGGTAAAGCTGGGAATGTGAATAGATAGATCCTGCCACACAGTGGTTGTGGTGTGAATTACTCTATTCAGTATTCAGTGTGGCCACTCAAAATGCTTCACCTACTCTTGATTAGTGTTGATTTTTCTTTAGAAATATTTTTAGTATTCTTGTACCTTGGATTTTAGTAAACTCCTGTATTTGTCTGTTGTGTGTATTCCATGCCGCCTTGTTTCAAAAGGGCAGAATCCAAAAAAGTAATTGTTGACAGTGTTGGTAACGCCTTGGGGTGCTTCCAGAGTCTTAAGAGTTGTAGCTGAAATGTAACTTTTAATATGATAGAATGGAAAATTATTAATTATAGGAAGGAATATACTATCACAGAGCCTGAATGATGAATTGTGGATTTTCCCTATTGTTTTATTGGTAACAATATAGAAGTAGATGACTACGGTACTGCCTTCTTTTCTAATTTGGGATTTCTGAAGACAACTTTTAAAAACAGAGATACTCCTGGAACTTGGTTACACTTCAAATAAAAAGAAGCCTGTAGTGACCTCTAGTGTCCAAAATGCTACAGTTACTGCAGATAAATGTATTACTACTGTATGTTAAAGGCAGGTTTCTATTTTTAGAATGTCAAGCTCTCCAGCTGGCGTAGGATGCAAAATGAAGCAAGGCAAGCCAGGCAAACCACTAGTATATAAAAAGAGAGCAAACTCAACTTCATACTAGCACTGATGATATTATCTAGTTTAGTTAATGAAACATCTGCAAAAAAAAGTTCAGCTAACATATCAAGCAATCTCTGGGCAGAAAGTCACCCAATAAATTTGAAGGACATGCTCATTTCAGCACATGACTTAGAAGAAGAATATATTTTCAATATCAGAATTGAAGTTGTTCTTACATCCAAAAAGCCACTCCCAGTTCCCTTTCTCCAATTCAACAACCTGGCTTAAAGGCGTGCATGAAAGTCTAATCAATATTTTTAGGGAAGACCCTCAACTTACTCTCAACATACAATCAAATGTTTTGCAATACTTTACAACCCTCAAAATGTCTGTCAATATTAATGTTGCTACAGCTGCTCAAAATTGCTAGCCATGATTCTCAGGAGAAAGCTCTATATGCCAGAGTGTCATAGGAGGAAACAATTTATAAAACAATCTTACCTTGAACAGATGCTACACGTGTTAACAAATTTTAACCCGAACTATTTTTAACCAGTATTTATTTGTGTCAAATTCCATTATCCATTGGCTATAAAAGGAAGAAGTTATTGTTATGCTGTTGATATTGTTCATTTTTTAGTGATAAAATATATTAAATATGAAAAATGGTGATTTTGCCTACAGGTTGCAAAGTGGAATCTATTTTTCTAAATGTTGAGGCTGTAAATACACACAGGGATAAACCACAGGTAGGTCTTCTTACTCAATATGAATTTAAAACTTTACAAGAAGCTTGGAAGACGTATTAAAGTGGAAAACCTGCCAGTAACAGAAGAATTAAGCACTCCCTGTCCCTTTCTTGGCTACATTTTACAGATTGCTTCTTCCCAAAGTAGATTTTTTAAATGTACTTTAAAAAAAATAAGGTAGCAGGAGAGCATTGTAAAAAAATGAAAAATAAATTTGAGCTTCATATCTTCTTTGATTCCTGGAGTGGGGATTTACAACGGTCCAGAGTTTCATATTTGGGAACACTGATAAAACAGTTTATCTGATTAGTGGAATGTTGTATGTTCTCTTTAATTCTGAATTCTACATTAGAATTCTGCATTCAACTAATTTCTAAGCTCCTAATTTCAGCAGGCTCTGTTTTGCCTTGTGCTATACTACAGCAGCCCTCACTATGTCATGTCAAATATCACTGCAGTAGTTCAGTTTCCAGTATCTGTATGTTTTATGTGAAATGTACTACATTAGTTTGGATTTTTTTAATCTAGATTTTGAAAACCACCTTTTGCTCATTCTAGAACAACAGCAGCAAAGATTTTTGTGTCCAGCTAGTTTGGACACAAATGGAAGCTTAAATATTAAAATTCTGGAATAACCATAAATTCATAGGCAGTCTTTTTTAATACAAAATTATGGGTATTCTCTCTTTGTCATACACATAGACACACATCATTGTTTAGTGATTGACTTCTGTTTGTGACTGTTGGATTTATATGAAAAGTCTCAACTATTTTGGCACTTACATTTCCTAACATGAGGATTGAAGGCTCTGCTAACAAAAACACAAACACAATTTTGACTGAGTGAAAATGTCATATAAATGTTTCGGTGTGTGCAGCATTACTTTTCATGTTTTGATTCTGAGCCATTTGTGTGTCTATGCTACCAGTACTATGATTTAATACTAAGTCCATATAGTCAAACTATGGCTTGTTTAATTTCGGTTTGGTTATTGTGTGAACAAACACTTGTAGTTTGTACCTTTAAGTTCATTGTTGATATCTGGTGGTTTGTTCATTAAATAAAAATATAGTTTAATAAGCTATATGAACCCAATCATATATGATTGTACTCTTGGCTTCAGTGGGAATCAGGTATATCAAGCTAAGTTAATAACTGGAAAGTGGAGAGAGGTAATAAATAAATGTATTCATTATAGTGTGTTCTTTAATACATATTTAGATGTGTGTTAATTCATAGCTGCTTTTTATCAGATTTTAAGAAAAAAGATAGAATGTTTGGAAGCAGAACATTGATCATAACCTCTTTGGTTCAAATGGCTTGTTGATTGAAAGTTAGCTTGTTTAACTAGTTTCAGTCAGTTAAAACAGTTGTTTGTAAAGGAAATTTGTAAGCGATTTTTTTCCAGGATCAGTAATAGAGTTGCAAGTTGCATGGGAAGGGATGGGTGGTAGTTAACTCCTCCTTGAAAGACGGAGTGGTCCCACCAGCTCTTAAAGAGGCAGTGGTACACCATTGCTAACCAAGCTGGATAGTTTTTGCCCAGTTTCCAATCTTCTTAAGGAAGGTGGTGAAGAGAGAGGTCACAGGGCATCTGCAGAGGACCTTGGTTCAAGCCAATTATCTAGACGCCTTTCAGTCGAGATTCAGACCAGGATTTGGGACTGAGATTGCACTCATGGATAACCTCCATGGGATGGAGGTAATGCATCCACCCTGACTCTTCTTGAACTCTTGGCGGTATTTAATATGATCAATTGTGGTATCCTTCTGGGCTGGCTTGGGAGTTGGAGTGAGTGGCACTGTGTTGTGTTGGTTCTCCTCCTTACTCAGGGATCAGTTTCAGTCGGTATTGATAGGCGGGAAGATAATCAAACTGCATTCCCTACTTTATGAGGTGCCTCAGGACTTGGTTTCTCTCTCCTATTTAACATCTACTTGGATGAGGTGGTCCATCAGTTTGGGGTGAGATATCATCAATATACAGATGACACCCAGTTTTATATATCCACTCCAGTCCTCTTGACAGATGCTGTGGACATCCTATCCCAGGTTGTCCAGGTCTGGATGAAGCAAAACAGGCTCTGATTCAGCCTCTGAGATGGAGAGGCTATGGGTATGTGGAGCCTCTTGAGACAAGGTTTTTCCATCTCTAATTCTGGATGGGATAACACTACCTCAGGTAGACCTGGTGCACAATCCGGAGGTGCTCCTAGAATTCAGAGCTCTGGCATGAAGAGCAGGTGGCAGCTGTGGCTAGGAGAGCTTATGCACATCTTTGGATGGTGTGCTAGTTGTGCCCATTCCTGCATCTATATAGGACCAAGGAACTATTCATATGTATATCACCATGTTGTTAGGATTTACATTCATATTATTGATCCTTATTCAGTCTGTGAGCAAGACAATTTTCAGCAGGTCCTTTTGGCTTGATAGGAGAAATTTAAGGGTGT